AAATCTTTTCTTAATGACTTTGTCAAAGAAAAAACAGCCATGATAGTTCACCGATTAGAGCCGATAAGAACCAATTACGTTCGATATCTCTGATCTATATAGATGTATTTGCGTGCAAAAATTTCAGGCCAATTACATTTTTCGTTTATTTCAAAAGGAATATCTAAAATTTTCATTAATATTGATTAAAAAGATATCACAAATAAAAAGAAATAATACAATAAATAAATTTATTTACTATTATTTATTAATATTACTATTACTATTATTTATTAACTATTTATTATATGTATTTATTTAGTAAATTATTAAACTAATTTGTATAAAAATTTCAATATTCAAAAAAATTTTCGATTACTTGTCATTTTACAAAATAATATAATTATAATTATAATTATTATAAGTTTAATTATTATTTCTTATAATTATTAATTTTATTATGAATTAATAAATAGAAAAATTAATAGAAAAATTATTATGAATTCTAAATTATTGTCAATATATTACATAATTGTCTTTTGCATCGATGACCACAGTATTCTGATATGATATCGATTAATCTCAAAATAAAATCTAAAGGAATTTTTTTCCATTCTTTCTTTAAAATTTAGAATAACTCTTTCGTTTTGATGTTAAAATTTATTTATAAGTTTTTTCAATTCTTGTAAATGCTCAATTGAATTAATATCGAAATATTCTGTTGACTAGATCTAAATTTTTATATTTTTGAAAAATAACCAATGTTTAAACTTTTATATGCGTATAAATCATAATCGGACTGTAAAACTCATTTTTTTTTGTATATAAATTTTTATTTAAAATATCTTAACACTATCCATAAATATTATTATATTATTCATATTTTCTTTCAGACTCAAATATATTTCTATCAATAGCTCGATCCCAAGCGGAAAAAATATCTTAGATATTTACATTTCCTTCATTATATTTTACACTTGATATTCGGTATTTCATATTTTCAATTGAACATCGCATTATATTGCCTTCCATTATTTTTAAAATTAAATTTCATCTGTGAAATAGCGATATTCTACCAATTAATTATCCAATATAAATCTTCTTGAATCTTAAAGAGACTTCTGATTTTTTTTCTATTAGTAATTAAAAATTTTTTCACATCTGTACTTTCATCAAAAAGACCAATATTATATATAACTGTCTTGTTATAATACAATAATTAATTACAATTTAATTCGCGTATTATATTAATGTTAACAGTAAATTTAATAATAAATTAATAATATTAATAGTAATTTTTCACAAATATCTATATAATATATATATATATATATATATATATATATATATAAATATATAAAATATATATCTATAAATATCTAAAAAAATATCTAAATATCTAAAGAATTAAACAATGAGATTATTCTCTAAAAATATAAAAAATTCTAATCTAAAAAATCTGCTCAATCTGCAGATTAATCGAATTGAATATATATAAATATATATAATATTTATAAAAAATATATATATAATATTTATAAAAAAACTAAAATAACGCGTAGATAAATTATAAACATCGAACAAAAAAATTATTCAAAACTTTAAAGAAATAATAAAATAAATAATTTAAATCTTATTTCAAGACTAAGTAAAAAAAAGCATAGCTATGAAATATTAACAATAATTCATAATAAAGACTAAATTAAAAACAGATCTATTATATTATTAAGATTTTTTTTTTACAAAATAACATGACTTAAAATTTTTTCATTAGTTTTATTTCATTTAATTATTTCATAACAGATTAGTTTAATGTGTATTTTTACAAATAAATATATATAAAACAAATAATATTAATAAATATTATGTAATATTATTAAATATTTAAAAAATTAAATATTATAAAAAGATTAATAAATAATATTTTATTAATACTTTATTATTTCTTTTTATTTCTAATATCTTTTTATGTAATATTAATAATATTTATTTTAAATATTGCTTTTGAAAATAAAACAAAAAATACTAGAAACTTTTGCATGAAACTTATATGTATAAGAAAGAGATTAATTACATAAATAAATTATAAAGTTTGTTTTTAGTGAAATAACATTATAAAGTAACATTTTTTAGTGAAATATTGTCTTTAGTAAAATCAATTATTTTAAAATTCTTTGAAATTTTGAGAAATTTCATGTTTAAAAGAAATTAGAAATTTTAATAAATTTTGTAATAATAATTGTAAAATGAAATTGAATATAAAATATTATTTTAAAAAAAAGTTATAATTGTATCCGTAAAATTATAAATTTCAATCAATTTAATTATTCAAGTCATTTATTATAATATCCTTTACTACAAATACCTAACTGTGATGATTGTTAATACCTTTTTACCAAACAGAACTTAAGCAGTTTGTGGGTAAAAGGTATAAAGATAGGAAATTCCCATAGATGTTTGATGAAGAGTTGGAGTGGATAATTGACAATAACCAATCGACAGATATTGATATTTATGAAGAACTCTTTGCAGGATGTACGCACTTTTTTCCTTTACTTTTAATACTTACTATATCAATTGTTATTTTGATACATTGATATTCCATCGTATATTTTTTTCATATGTTTGTAAAAAGAAAAAATATACAATTTCATAGGATAAACAATTAAAAAAATATATAGAAATATATAAAAAATATATAGGAAGATAATATTTTTATAATGAAATAATTTAAACATATTTGTAATTAAATATAAATTAAAATATAATAAATTCATATAAATTTTCTATTTCGATATTATAACATTTTATTATTTTTTGATAATTTCGTAAACCAAGAATGCTTAAATAATTAAATTAGAATTTTAAAATAGATAAAATATATTGAGAAACATGTATAGAAAATTTTGATATATTTTTATATATTCTATGTTAAAAATAAAAAGAAAGTAATGTTTCAAATAGAATACTCCGTGTAGATCGTAAATTTAAAGATTTATTAATTTAAAACTATTTTATTAAAAGAAATACATTTTCATATTGAAAAATATATTGGATAAAAATATAAAAATATTTTACTTTATTTATATAAATAAAAATATATAAAAAAATAATGATTTTATCATTGTATATTGATTTTTGAAATATTATTAATTTTACGTGAAAATACACTCAATATTATATATGTCAATTCTCATTGCTTTCAATGTAAATTAAATATTGTTAGAATTATTTTTTTAAAATTCTACACTTAAAGAGGTAATGAGGAAACAAGGAACGATTTTAATACATATATTATACTTCCCTAAAATAATTTAATCTTACATAATCTGTAATAGATATTTTTCAGCAAATTATAAACTGAAAATTTATATATTTTAATAAATGTTTAAGAAAGCAAAAAAGTTGTTAAATAAATTCATCATTATAATAATTAATTAAAAATATTAAAAATATTATATTGAAAGTTATTATTGAAAATAAACCAACAAGAACAGCAGCTAAAAAGTAAACGGCTAAAATAAAATAATATTATCTAAATATATAATTAAATATAAAACTAACAAAAATACAATTTTTTATCCAAATTTCATAAATCATAATTATTTATAAATGAAAAATTACTTTAAGAAGAATATTTATTAACTTCACCAAATTTTAATTATAATCTTTGTTATATTATATATATATTATATTAATATTATTATATTATTATATTATATTTATTAATCTATAATTAATAATAATCTATAATCTTATGGATTTTAAGAATGATATTAGATTGAGAATGTAATTAAAAATGAAAATTCACTTTGTATTTATTCAAATTCTTTATATTTATATTCGAAATCAAAAAAGCATTTAATGTCAAATATTCCAAATGATGTCACACGCAATGTATTGATTACATTCGAACAAAAATGTTTCATTGTAAAATTTGTATGAAATAAACTATTTTTAGATCTCATGTTTTTCACAATTATGTATCAATCCTTCCATAAGTAGGAAGAGATTTGTCATTTACGAAAAAACATCTTTTAAATACATTTTTTGTTTAGATTTAAAAAATTTATGTTTTTTTCCGTTAAAGAATAGAATGTAGTTGAATGTAAATATGCAAAAAAATCATTAAAACATTATTTAGTTTCTTTTATACGATCTTTTTTTTCAAAAATATATCAATATTTTCTAATCTACATTATAACTATATTATAACTACATTATAACATTACTATTTCATATGATTATATAATAACAAATAATTTAATTTCAATGAAAAAAATAATCATTTGACAAATCTTGTTTAAATCTCTAAATTTAATAATATTACTTAAATAATAATAATATTATTTTAAATTTATCATCATAATGTATTTATATTTAAGTCTATGTTATATATTGAAATATTTAAATGTGAATATTTATTTAATGTTCAATAACCGAATATTATCTGATTGCCACAATGATTCATATTGATTTGATTGATGATATTGATTTTAATATTAAATTTTAATGATTCATTTTATATAATTCAATACAATTTAAATTTATATAGACTACATTTATATATATATTTAATTCCTAAAACTTTGCATATTTTTATTTTTAAAAAATTAAAATAAAAGTAAAAAAATAAATCTTTTCATATAATCTTAAATATTATAATATATTATAAATATTATAAATATTATAATATATTAAAATTAAAAATAATTTTTATAAAAAAAAAATTAAAAAAGAAAAACTTTATTTATTTACCATAATTATTTATCAACTTACTTATTTTATTCAACTTTTAAAAAATCGAAATATTCTACATGAAAAATTATTCAGAGAATAGAAAAATATCATTTTTTTTTTTTTGCTTTTACGTATTATTTTAAAAAATGATAAAGAATAATTCATAGTATCGTTAATAAGGACAACGCGAAGAACTGAATACTTCATGCTCTGCACTTTCCACTCTAAAGCACTTGAGTCTTGAAAGATATTACTGCTAATTTCTTTTAAAGAGAAACACGTTCTTGGTTCATCGAAATTTTCTGATTGATGATGTTCAAACTATCTAATGTTGATAACATTTCCTGTTAGAATCTCTATTTTGATATACATATATAGATATATATTATGCAATTTTTTTTTGTTGTCCAAATTCATTTTAAAGAGATAAAATTAACTCATAAAAATTTGGCTATTTTTCGATTTTGTGTTATAATTTAGGAATTGTAAGAGATAAAAAAATTTTTTTTAAATTATTTTAATAAGAATTACTATCATTTAATTAAAGATTTATTAATTAATTAAAAAGAAAGTTATAAATAAAAAATTTATTTTTTTTAATTACTTTTTTATGCAAAATTTTAATAATCATGAAATATACAACATAAAAAACTTTTTTTATTTCAAATATATTCTTTGTGTATTACTTGTATATTTTATTCCGCGATAATCTAGAAGAAAGAACTTGTCGTAGTATGTATGATATACTTGTATTATTGATGGGCCATCACATTGATGAGCAATCTTTTTTTACATTTACTCATAAGATAATTTATATTATGTAATAAAATATATGGAAATGAAAAAATTATTTAATCATTTTTACTAGAACTTTTTATTTTTAATGTAATTATCAAATTTTTATTTTCTAACAAAGTAAATCTCATATAAAAATAAAATAAACAATCAATTATAGTTAGATAATTTTAAAAATATATGGATATGAATAAGAATATGATATAAATAAATGGATTATTTATAGTAATAAAGAAATATTTAAAACAGAAATTTGTAAAACATACCATGTATATCATATGATATGATTGAAAGATATGAAACAATGAAATGTATAAAATCTTACTGTGAAAAAATAAAATCTAAATTTTCAAAACTATTTGATTTTTTATCAATATATCCATTTTTACATCATGCGTAAGCAAATACGTTGTAATATTTGTATAATAATATTTTAAATAATAGACTAATTTAATGATATTTAATGATTACATCGTAATCGTATAATCTACTATAAGATCAAAAAATGTTTTTATAATTTTAGAATAGAATATAAGAATATAAATATAATATAATTTAATTAAATTATAGTTTTCTATATGTGGAAACTGTATACATCATGTATCATCAATGATTATATCATTCCTATAATTTTTTTTTTTAGAGATTATAAATATTTCAATATGTTGATTAGATTGATATATTTTGTAATGTAACTGGACAATGATAGTCCATAAATTTAATAATAAAAAGCTCCGAGATTTCGCATTTACGTTTATTAACCATTTATTAAACAATTCTTTGACTAACTTTTTCAAAAAAAATTATAAATTATGTAATTAATTGATAAATTTCTTACTAACAATAATTTTTATTAAAAAAAAACAAAAAAACTTATCTTAAAACAATTAAGAAAACTTTTCTTCTATCTGTTATAGTTGGCGAGTTATAGTACAAAATCGAAAAATAACCGAATTTTCAAAAAAATTTTATAATATATACATGCACATTTTCAAAGTTTCAAAGTTTAACAATTTTTCAAATTTATGGCTTGAATCTTTCGAGTCTTCTTTTTTTAGTTTTGTTCTCAATTTAAATATCACGATATTTGATTAAAGCTTAAGTCTTTTCTTTTATATTATATTTTATATTATATTTTTTTTAATTTAATTTTTATTCGCGATACCTAACATAATTTTAAAAATAATAACAAATGTTATCTTATTTGAAATATTTTTAATATCATCATGAAATAATAATAAAAAAAAATAAAATTTATTTTGCAATGAATCTAATTGTAATTAATTTAAAATTTTTTAATTTCAAATATGAAAAATTTGGAAATTCAAAAACTAAATTTTTAAAGATTGAAAGATTTAAAAAAAAAGATTAAATTTTTAAATTCTTCATTCTAAAATTAAAGGATATCTTTCTATTTTTTATTAAAGATAATTTATAATCATATAAACTTTACATTTAAAAATAGAAGTAGAAATAATAAATTAAAAAAAAATATTATTAGATATTTATAAGATTATAAATATTATTAGATTAAAAACTCACCTAAGTTTCACAATTGCCTTTTTTCTTCATCATTGAAGAGATGATCATCTCCAAAGATATTTTCGTTTATAACTTTTTTTGTTTAGGAACTTCTTTTGCTAAACTTTTTCATAATGTTTGTATGTGCATATTATTCTTTTATTGAATATTATTAGTTCCACTTATCACATTTCAACTGTCACCATTCAAATCACTGAATCTACTTAAAGTTCATTTGTATTATTATTATATTAAAGTTAGTTTTTTTTGCAACATTTTTTTTTTATACACTTAATTTCCATTGTGTTTTTATTTTTCACTGTTATTCACTTGTAGCTTTTCTAAATTTTGAATTAATCGTAAATTGTATTAAATATATACCATAAATTTAAAAATAATATTTATATATTAAATTATTTTTATATAATATATAATATGAGCAATGTTTTTAATATTAAAAATATATGGAATATTTCATCATTTGAATAATTTTTATATCATTATATATTGTATTAATATGAAAAGAATTACGCGAATAAATTAAGTGAAAATTATTAAAAACTTTTTAAATTATAAATTTAAAATCAATATAATTCTTATGTAAAAATAATGCACGATATATTTACGAATTAAAATTATCATATCCTTTTACTATGTCAAAAAAATAGTTATTTCCTAAACTATTTTTTATTATTATTACTATTATAATTAAAAATATATGATTACAGTAGTTTAATCTAATCTAAAGAAATAGATAGGGGAATATTGATCAAAATGAAACAAATAAAGAGAAAAATTAATCTTTCTTTTAAACAAAAAATATAAATAAAAAAATATTTTGTGTTATGAATCTAGTTATTATTGATAAATATTTGATTAATTTCACTATAAAAATGTAAAAATATTCTTTTATATATATCAAAACGCGAAAAATTTGATATAATAATTATATTTTATTATTTTTAACTTGGATATTAAGAAATCATTATGATAAATAAAACATTATATTATAATTCTTGATTGACACTGAATTTTGACGATATATTCTTTATCTGAAATTGAAGTATAAATATTAAACTTTTTTAAAAATATTTCATGATAATATGCGGAAAATTGAAATATTTTACGATAAAATAAAATAAAACATCTATAAGTATTTTTTATAAAAAAATTATTATCTTTCTCTAAAATGTTTTAACTTTAATATTTTTTTTATTTGTATGTTAATTATATTAATTATTATATTTTAGTTTAAAATAATTTTTAATTTAAAAAAATAACAATTTTGCAATTTTAAATAAACGATTTTAAGTAACTTTATCCTACCATTTTGATGAGAACAAAATTTTAATACTATCAAAAAATTATATTTTCTATCATAACTAAATATTTTTTTTTAACACTAAGTCTTATTTTTTTTATAGTTAAAGATTAAGGTTTCTACACAAAATAAATGTTATTTTTATTTTCTAGTGCAACCTAAAGCATTTTTGACAAACTTTCTTATAATATATGAATAAATGTAGATAAATATACAATAATTTTATTTTAAAATATTTCAATGTTCGTAAAACTTAATAAACGATATAATTTTCTTAGTTATTAACATATAAAATATAATATAAATATAATATAATATATTTATTATATAAAAAAGATAAAAAAGATTTATATATATATTTTATAAAAATTTATAAGTAAATAAGTATATAATGTATATTATGAATATATAATTGAATATATAATTTGAATATATAATATACAATTTTTTTTAACTCATAGGAACTTTGTATCATTTCTTATTATATCGATATAATCAAATTTCAATTAAACATTTTATGTAAGTAATTTAAAAATACTTTATGTATTAAATGAATAAATGCAAATACAAGGATATATATGCAGATAATAAAGAACACTTCAAATTACTATCACAAATTAAAAATTAAAAAACAAACTATTACGAACTATATTTAGTAATTTCAACAATTTAATTTTCATATTTTTTTATAAATATATAATTTTATAATATTTATCAATCATTGATAATTAAAAAAAATAAATTTAATTAACTTTCACAAATAACAAATATAAAAAGAATTAATTCGTCCTAAGCCTAATCAAGTCTGATAATAAAAATTTTAATTAATTAACTAATTAACTTTGAATTAATTATATATATAAGAATAATTACTATTATAATAAATTCAAAGTATTAAATATTTTAAATAATATAAAGAACTAAATTGATTATTAATTATGTATACAAATAAGCTACATTTTTTTACAAAATAAATTTAAATGTTATTAAGCTATATCAATAAAAATTATTTCAGTCAAATTGTATTTTCATTTCTGCAAGCTCGAGATACTATTTTCCTTGTTTTTATAAAACGTTTTATAAAACAACATAATAAAATTTTTTATCTTTCATAAATTTTTTATAATAAATAAATTAATTGATATATTATATTAATATTATATATTAATATTTCTAATAATTTTAAAATTATAATATATATAATAATAATATAAATTTATATTATATGTATTTATATTATATATATATTATTATTATTATTATTATTATTATTATTATTATTATTATTATTCAAGTATATTTTATATATATATGTATTTTTATATATATTTTATATATATATATATAATATCAAATAATATATATATATATATATATATTTATAATATCAATATATTAAATTGTATAAAAAAAAATAGTTTAAGCATATTATAAGATATTTAAAATATATTCTTAATTTTTGAACTTTTAAAAAGATCATTA